CCCCAATCTTCCAAGGCGGCATGGCTAAGTGCATGTCTCTTTGTAGCGGATTGATGGTTGGAAAAGTGGTCGATGACCCTCCTGGGTTTCCATTGACATTGTGCAGTTTGCCTGCATATGTCCCCGTACTAATCTTTTGTCTTTAAATGAGCGGTAATATACACACGTCGACACTGGATGTGTGTGCATATGGGGATTTATGCATACCCGCTTGGTAGAGGCAACTTGCACGAATGATATGCTGCAGACCGTTTGATAGGTTCAATTTCAACTAGACTTAATCTCCAAGGTCATCTCTCATGTGAATTGGAAGATACCTAATGAGCCTTGTGAAGCCAGATCAGGTGTGCCTAGGGAGCACGACAACAGACAGTCAAGCGTACAGTAACTCAAACGTCGGTCGAATCGTCCTTATCCACTCACAAAACTCTAGACGCCATCGGACGTGGGAACGCGCATATCAAGCAGTGTAAGGCACCGTATCGGGAAAACCATATCCGTATGAAAAAATGACCACGACTGAAGTTGGTAAAAGAAATTGCCCCACGCTTTGCGTCTGTTTGTGCGTCGACGGTAATTAAATGAAGAAGTTCCTGGGTTTGTTCACACCAAACCAATTTGAACATAATATGAACATTTATCAAACAATATTTCCGAGGATAGGAAAACAAGAAGTTGTATGCTTACCAAACTCTGAGTAAGGAATGCGTCATGATGCTAAGAATTGAAAGTGCTTTCATCCAATTTGTTTGGCTATTAACCTGTGATAACTATCTTTTCCACGACATATTGGTTCAACGAAGCAACTTCTTTTGCTCCAAGGCTTTACACGATTATTACCACTTTCAAGGGATATCAACACAGAGAGTGGGTTCTTAGGCAAGGCAAGGGTACGTCAGTCAATTCGAGAAGGTTTCTTGAATAAGTGGCGGTATGGAATGGCTGGCTTATGACACCTGATCGTCTGGTCTCGATTGTGCATCAAATCTCGAAAGGATATGGCCAGCATATTTTATCGCCTCGGCTCACGGTCTTGAAATTCAACAATCTTCTTACCAATCGTGTAAGCGCGTCCGCCGACAAGGTGTGACCTTGCTATAGCTTATAAGAAGGGTGAAACGCAAGCAAAGGATTCACATGCAGCAGTCATCTTACTCAAAGTTGTCCTTGGTCAACAATATCAGAGTGAACGAGACGAGACTTGTGTATTGAAAAGTCAAGAAAAAGTGCAGAGTATCAAGCAGCGTAAGGTTAACTAGGTTATTGTGCCAATGTGTCAGAAATATCCTATCTCGAGATTGGTGGAAAGCCAACGGTTAAATGGAAATGAGCCAGACTATTCAAATGATCTTGCCCGGAAAAATAGCCTAAACAAGCAAAAAGTAATTAGTATTACAAGGTCCCAGCGAAGGCTTTCAACGTTGTGCCTGTTAGCCTTTGGTTAAAAATGAAAGCTGCCCCACACATTTGCTCCAGCTGAGCTTGGCAGTTGAAGTGATATTTTCCAAGAGGCGGCAACCTCTTGACCAACTGGAGGTGGCGGTAAAGGCTCCGAGGGTTGAAACCATAGGGTAATTCTTTTAGGGTATTATGACATGCATGAAAAATTATAGTTTAGCGATTGATCTCGTTCTAAGTTCGTCATAACATAAGCGATCACCCACTGGAACAGATCAACCTACCAGAAACACCGTTCCATTCAAACAAACCACCTGAATCAAATTGATCATTTAATTTGCCCACCAAATCAAAAAATCATCCAATCATGAAGGAAGGCTTCTTTTAGCCTTAACTTTCAAGCATGCAAGCAAGCTGCCAGGGTGTATGATGTCATTCCCTCAAGCCTATTGACTGCACGGCTACATCATACATATGAACTCTCAATAATACAATCAAAGCTAATCTCTATGGAAGAAGAATCTCTAGCTTAATGAATGATATTTATGAATGAAAGGGGTTTATCCTCTCAAAATCACAAGCAGGCATATGAGATATGAACTTCTAACAATATATACAGAATTTAGTTTATAATCTATAATTGAAAATATTAAGTTTGAAGGTTTTTTCAAAGCTAAAAATTAAATATATATGGTAGAATTATCAATAAATTTTATATAATGTTTTATACATTTAAATAAGTTAAATTAGTAAAAAATATTAAAAAGAAATATAATATTTTATTAAAAATATTGTAAAATTTAAAAAGTTAATTTTAATTATAAAAATTAAAAGATATATAAGTATAGTTAAGATAATTAATATATTAAGATAAACTCTATCTTTAATAACTATTTTTAAAATAAAATATATTAAATTTTATAATATAAATAAAATAATATAATTAATAAATAATAATTTTATATTTTAAATAATTACATAAATTATATTTTCACTAAATTTAATTATTTTTATATAAAAAGAAAATTTTTTTATTATTATATTTATTTTATCTTCTATAGTTATTAAATATTAAATATTATATTTTTTTTTTAAATATATTAAATTAAATCTAAGATTTAATATTAATTACTTCATAAAAATAAAAGTAAAAATTTAAATTTATATATTATAGCTAAAAAAAAAACATTAAAAACTATAATTATTAGAAATAAATTCAAAGCTATAGATTGAATGTTATAATTCAAAAGAGATTTTCTTATGTATTTATATTAATAGATACTTAGTCTCTTTAATACATCTTACAAATTTTAGTCTTTGTGAACCTCAAAAACCTCTGCTGTAGGACTTGATTAGAATGTCAGTTTCAATAAGATTAGGCAGTATCCCGTGCAGTACACAAAGTTATATTAGTTCAATTAACCAAGCTATACCAACTAGTTTGAGGGTATCAGCTGGCTACACATAGTGCTGCTCTTCTAACATAGGAAACAAGACTCTATAGGCTGCAAATGAGAAGTTAAATTGCAAGTGAAAACGAGAACATACCTATATAGCTCAAGAGGATATTCTGACAGCAGAGAAAGGACCAGCTAGTGCTCAAGCTGCTCAACAAGCTGTGGAGGGAGTAGTTAAGGATTCAAAATCAAGCCTCCTACAAAGCGAACAGCAGCACACTGTAGTAGAAGTGGCAACTCAGGAGCAATTCAAGACATAGAGCCCCTGCATGGCCCATCTGTTAATGAATAAAGTATGTGATGTTCCATATAATTGTTTGATGTTGAAGAATTTTTTGCAAGTAGTTATATAAGGTGGCGTGGGTGTCCGGTGGGTGATCTGCTCTGGTAAGTAATCGCTTACGTTAAATTGAAGAAACGGGGCTTTGCTTACCACCCAGAAGTTGTGGTTCTCCCTGGAAATGGCCTCGTTTCTTGGGCAGCACCAATTCCCCCAACTTTGCCAGCTCCAAGCCATTTGTGAGCAGTGAGCATTGAGGCAGTGCAGAATAATCCACGCCGCTGATTTGCTGGCTCTGTTTAAACTTTGATCCCCCCGCGGAGACCAAGTCAAAGATGAACTAAGCTGCGCCTTCATTAATTATTTTGTATGATGTGGAGTGAGATGGAGCTTCCATCGGAAAGTTCTCTTTGACGCAGGCAATAGGCAATAACCTTTTTGTTCGAGTGCAAGCTTGAACTTTTAAGAGGGCCAAAAAAGAGGGAAAAAAAAATTAACTCCAACAACAGCACTAATAGTCAGTGGGGACTGATTGCCATACTCTGTGCATCTCCTTGTCAAGTTCAAATCGGAATAGATAGCGTTGAACTGTAGATGAAGCATAGTTTGGGATTGTTTTACGTGACAAGTTAAATGAAAAATGGCCCCTTAGGCCAATCCTCTCCCACTGGCGATGTTCTCCATTATTCCTGTACGGGGTTTGCTTCAGGGACAACCATTGATTGTCCTTATGCATGTGAGCATGTTGTTCGTCACGTAAAGTAGAGGAGAGAGCGCTTGGAGGTAGTTTCAGAGCTGGGGCGACACGTAGACAGGTGAAGTTCTTCCTCTTGGCCCAAGGGGAACGTGGAGAGTGGGAAGAGGCCAAGAACTGGAGGTTCTGTCGAGGGAGCCCTACTCAGGGATTATGGCCTTTGAAAGAACTCCAGTGGAAGCAAATGGCCTTGGCACCCAGTGTAGATCCCAAGCGCATGATGCTATTCGTTCTTTGTCATTAAAATCCTGTTGTGTTGTTCTTGGTTGTTGGGTTGTTTGCTTGTGCTCAGCCTGTGAGCGAATTTTGCATGTCGCAAGCCAAGAGCAAACCAAGTCTCGTTTCCGTCTCCGGCTCCGTCTCCGGCTCCGGCTCTGGCTCTGGCTCTGGTTCCTTTGCCCAGTTCTTCCCCCAAACACGTCGAACTTCAACCTCAACTGTTTCTTCCCCCCCCCCCCCCCCCGCGCTCTGCTCTCCCATTACATCGCTCTCCTTCATTTCTCTCCTTTCTCTGTCTTTGATCTCTTTCCGGCTAATATCCCTTGATGGCTAATTATTCATCGTCGCCATCTTCCAACTTATCGGCCTTCAGCGCATTGAGTGGGCGTGGGCCAAAACCCCCGGCAGTTCTCCGCCCCTGGGCAAACCTGATCGTGTAGGCAAAACTCCTTCTTGTAAGACATTGCGTTACGGCATCCCTCTGACTGGCTTCTGCAATTCTACATGGCTGGATTCTCCCACTACAAACTTCCCAGTGCTACATAAAATCCCGTTGTTGGTGGCGAAGTCACCTATTCTACACTAAATGAGCGCAGCGCTCCATTACGTTGGATTTTTTAAATTTTTAAATTTTTAAATTTTTTGCCCCTAGTCATTTCAATGCTAACACTATTTCTTTGTTGTTGCAGAAGCCGATTTGTACCTTCTTTCTCCTATCTAAATTTGGCCGTTGCTACGCGAGGATCTTCCTTGACGCATTTTTCCTAGAGCTTGGCCATGGTACAATCCGGAGTCGTGTTAATATAATTGAGGATCTCGTGGCCTGTTGCCCCGTAACCTTTTTACCTTAGTGCCCAACATTGCACCGTCACGAAATATCTGTATTGCAGCCATGTCAAAATTGCCTGGGAACGGTGACCCCGTTTCTCCACCAACGCCTCTGCGGCGTGAGCGTGCGCCTACTATCACCATAGATACATCCGCTGTGAGCGCAGGAACAGAATCATCCCAACCGCAAATAACCCCAGATGGATCGCAGTCAACACTGCGGATCTCTACCGAACATTTGGGAGCGGGATCGAGATCGCCTGGCGGACCCTCGCTTTCCCCTGTGGATCTCCACCCAGTGCCACCTTTGGAGGGAAAAGAAAACAGGGGAAGCCGCCCAACTTCACCCCATAACGTATCATCTCCTGCTTCAAAATGGCCCGAAGGCCCCTCTCAAACGTTTTTATCCGTTCCTGGGACTCGATCGCGGGGGAATTCTGTAGATTCGGAGGAGTTGGGAAATTCTCCCGGTTCGTTTGGGAGTGATACCTACGTGGGTTCCACTCCTTCAGGTCACGATCGCCCTTCACACGATGCCAATCATGATATAACAAATGATCCAGATGCTTTGAAGCCCGATCCTGGTACGGAGGAGGATTTTAAAGTTGAAAACAATAAATTCGCATTCTCCCCCGGACAACTAAACAAAATGTTGAACCCCAAAAGTTTGTCCGCTTTCTATGCTCTTGGTGGACTCGCTGGCCTTGAAAAAGGATTACGTTCGAATTGTCACGCCGGTCTCGGCCTCGACGAAACCTTTTTAGACGGGACTGTCACCTTTGAGGATGCAACGAGGAAGAGTAGTGAATGTCCCGAACAGCATCTGAAAATGCCCTCCCGAGTGATGAGCATGAAGAGTCACGGTTCGAAACATACCAAGGATAACGAGTACGCTGACCGAAAACGCGTATTCAGTGACAATCACTTGCCAGCGAAGAAGGCCAAGAGCATATGGGAACTTGCTTGGATAGCGTACAATGACAAAGTATTGATTCTACTCTCGGTTGCCGCTGCCATATCTCTCGCGCTTGGGATATATCAATCCGTTACAGCGGGGCCAGATGAACACAGGATACAATGGGTGGAAGGAGTAGCTATCATAGTTGCTATTTTGGTTGTAGTTATTGTTGGTGCTGCAAACGACTGGCAAAAAGAACGGCAGTTTGTGAGGCTCAACAAGAAAAAGGAGGATCGGAATGTCAAAGTCATCCGCTCTGGGAAATCCGTGGAAGTATCTGTTTACAATATTCTTGCTGGAGATGTAATGCATCTAGAACCTGGTGACATGGTTCCTGTTGATGGCGTTTTTATCGAAGGACACAACGTAAAGTGCGACGAATCCTCCGCTACTGGCGAATCTGACCTGCTACGAAAGGTTTCAGGGACCGAAGCATACCGAGCAATCGAAAACCATGAAAACCTTGCGAAAATTGACCCCTTTATTCTGTCGGGAACTAAAGTTTCTGAAGGTGTTGGCACATTCCTGGTTACCTCCACTGGTGTGAACTCAAGCTACGGAAAGACTTTGATGTCATTACAAGACGAGGGAGAGACCACCCCTTTGCAAACGAAGCTTAACATCCTTGCTACATACATTGCCAAATTAGGTCTTGCGGCAGGCCTATTACTCTTCGTGGTCTTGTTCATCAAATTTCTAGCGAGTTTGAGTTCTATTCAAGGCCCTGCTGCCAAAGGTCAAAATTTCCTCCAGATATTCATTGTCGCCGTAACTATCATCGTCGTTGCAGTGCCAGAAGGATTACCCCTAGCCGTTACATTGGCTCTTTCATTTGCCACAAATCGGATGTTGAAGGACAATAACTTAGTACGCGTACTAAGAGCATGCGAGACAATGGGAAACGCGACTACGATTTGCTCTGATAAGACGGGCACATTGACCCAGAATAAAATGACAGTTGTCGCCGGTACGTTTGGGACTGCTTCTCGGTTCGGCGACAAAGCTATTCAAGACACCTCTGTTCAGAATGGCAATAATCAGGCGCACCAGGCGCACCACAGTCCAGCGGACGCAGAGGTGAACGACGTCTCCCCTGCGGAATGCGTATCCACGCTATCGCCCTCTATTAAGGATCTCCTGAAAGACTCCATTGTAATGAACTCCACTGCTTTCGAGGGCGATGAGGACGGGGTGCCAACCTTCATCGGATCTAAAACGGAAACTGCACTTCTCAGCTTTGCGCGGGATTATCTCGCCTTAAGTTCTCTTAGCGAAGAGCGATCTAACAAGGAAACTGTTCAACTGGTGCCATTCGATTCCGGCCGAAAATGCATGGCTGTCATCATAAAACAGCCTAATGGCAAGTTTAGGATGCTTGTAAAGGGTGCCTCCGAGATTCTGATTGCCAAATGCACGAGAATTGTTCTTGATCCGGCAGCAGAATTATCAGAAACACCGCTCACTGACAGAAACAGATCAACCCTGGATGACATTATCGAAAGCTACGCCTCAAGGTCTTTGCGTACAATTGGTTTGGTCTACCGAGACTTTGAACAGTGGCCACCTCGTGGCGCCCCTACACAAGAAGACGACCGTACCCTTGCCGTTTTCGAACCAATATTTAAGGACATGGTCTTTTTGGGTGTTGTGGGTATTCAAGACCCTCTCCGTCCTGGCGTTAGTGACTCTGTCATTCGGTGTCAAAAAGCTGGCGTGTTTGTTAGAATGGTCACTGGCGACAACCTGACAACAGCGAAAGCCATAGCTCAGGAATGTGGTATCTTTACCCCAGGAGGAGTCGCAATGGAAGGGCCCAGATTTCGGAAACTGGGCTCCCAACAAATGAACCAGATCATACCAAGATTGCAGGTCCTTGCACGATCCAGCCCAGAAGATAAAAGGGTATTAGTTACGCGTCTGAAAAAGCTCGGAGAGACTGTTGCTGTCACTGGTGACGGTACTAATGATGCCCCGGCGCTGAAGGCAGCCGATGTTGGTTTCTCTATGGGTATTGCTGGCACCGAAGTTGCTAAAGAGGCTTCCTCAATTATCCTCATGGATGACAATTTCACATCGATTGTCAAGGCCATATCTTGGGGAAGAACAGTTAATGATGCCGTGAAGAAATTTTTACAAGTGAGGACTGCGACTCCTTATTTTATTTTTTTTTTTATTTTTTAACTCGACTAATTCTTGGGTCTCTTAGTTTCAAATCACGGTCAACATTACAGCTGTCATTGTCACATTTGTTTCTGCTGTTGCCAGTGACGATGAAGAATCGGTCCTTACAGCCGTTCAGCTTCTATGGGTCAACCTCATCATGGACTCATTTGCTGCTCTAGCGCTAGGTAATTTCGCACAATCGGATTTGCAACCCCTAATATAATTAGAAATACGGCTGACACTCACTCCAGCAACTGATCCCCCCACTCATACAATTCTTGATCGAAAGCCCGAGCCCAAATCTGCGCCCTTGATCTCCGTGACCATGTGGAAAATGATAATAGGACAGTCGATCTATCAACTTGTTGTCATATTCGTTCTCAATTTTGCTGGGCCGAATATTCTGAACTACGATTTTAAGCATGGAGACATCCGCTCTGAAACGAACCGCTTCAAAGCCCTAATTTTCAACACATTCGTGTGGATGCAGATATTCAACCAGTACAAGTAAGAGTTCCCTCCAATATATCGCTGTGAGCGACCAATATTGAATGCTAATCATACTTTACTTGGGGCAGTTCCCGGAGAATAGACAATGGCATCAATATATTCGAGGGTATCCTGCGCAACTGGTGGTTCATCGGTATCCAAATTGTTATCGTCGCTGGTCAGGTTCTGATCATATTTGTTGGTGGCGAAGCCTTCCGTACTAAACCCCTGAACGGTGTCGAATGGGGTATCTCCATCATTCTAGGGCTTTTGTCAATACCAGTGGCTGTGGTTATTAGACTTATCCCCGATGATTTTGCGAGGAAATTAGTCCCTCCAATGTGGACACGGAAGAAGACGAGGCCACAAGTTTTTGTCTCCGACGAGGACCGTTTCGAGTGGAACCCGGCTCTGGAAGAAATCCGAGATCAGCTGGCATTCCTCAAGACTGTTCGTGGTGGACGGCTCAAGCACCTGAAGCACAAACTACAGAATCCACAGACTTTGATTCCAAGATCGAGGAGCGGTTCGAGATCCCGGGAGAGCTCTATGCCTCACACTCCTGTCGGCGATGTTGCCCAAGACAGTATGTTCCCTTCACCTGCAACACCAGATTCACGCTCTCGCAACGGTCGATCGCGATCCAATTCAGCATTTGGACCCGCAGCGGCTATGGCCGGTATAGTTGCTGGCAGTGTTGCTGGTTGGTCACCTGTGGAGAGAGGCCCAGGGGAAGCCGATTCGTTAAAGTTTTCACGTTCCGATCCCCATACTGGTCTTGTCCACCAAAAAGGAATTGAGATCCATCCTGATACTCAAGAGGACGACCCTATAGTTCGCGACTATTCATTGTCTTCCAGCGTGCCTCCCAGTCAGAACCCAGAATTGACGCCACAGTTTGCACATGGCCCATCTTCCCCTTCGAATCCTCCAAGTCGTGGGCGACGGTCTACTTCTAGACAGTCGAGGCGGCGGTCAAGTAGCAACGTCCCTCCAAACCAAACTACACCGCCGTCCTGACGTCTTCGATAATATAATCCAGGGGCGAATAAATTCTTGCCTACCGGACAAACCTTCTATCTCCTATTCAAAGCTTTCTACGCTACTTTGTTATTCCACATGTCGCCCTCAATCCAATCGCTGCCAACATCTAGGCTTCGATGATAATCGTGGATTGTGTTTGGTGTTGATTATATTCCCTTCTATGATGTTATCTAGAAATCACTTTTAATACGGTTTATTCAGTTCTTGAAGGTGAATTAGTGTTCACAAAAACTGAAAAATAAAATAAAACAATGCAGCACTACATTTGCATTTTGCATATGCATGGCGTGTGGGTTAGGGCATTATTTTCCACCTTTTTTATTCCCATTTCCTATCCCGGCTACAGCACCTCTCAGGGTTTTTTCTCCTTTTTTTCTTTTTCTTTTTTTTTTTTTGTTGGAGTAGTTATGTCTATTTTGACCCAGCTAGCTGCCTTTTCTTTAGCCTCTACTCACTGTATCTCATCTGCAGGTTTCGACGTTTTCATTCGTCCTCTGTTTCTCTCTACTTTCATTATCGACATTTCTCTTCGTGTTTCCCGCAGCACATGGGTCATCAGCTTTCTGGCTCCCTTCGCTTCACCTCTCCTTTGTTTCATCAAACTCACTTTTTCATGTCCCCTTTCCCTTTTAAATCCAGTTATTTCATTTTAATAGCAAATATCTACACCCCTGTTTCGTTATCATTTATTTTTCTCTTCGTTTTTGTTAACTACACCATCGATCGATTAGGAGAAAGTTTTAAGGGCTGTTATCCTCATTCTTCTGAAGTTTATGGATTTTTCTTGTCTTTTCTTTCATCACTTGGTTTGGTCTTTCCTGACTCCCCTTTCCATCCATGTTCGCCACTATCCAACTCCCTTATCCGGCGCCGATAGTGTGTAAATGTGGGGTTACCTTCTGAATGTCGAATTCTGTTTCTTTGCTTACTCTTCCTTCTATTCCCTTTTCCTTTCACCTGTATTTTAGGCTATAGACCTTTCAGTGTGCTTGTTTCGAAAACACCGAGAAAACAATTTCAAAATTCGTCCTGGTCCAACATTTCCAAAGCAGCTTGCCCCTAGTGACGTAGAGTGACCGAGGTAAATTACAGGGAAACGGAGTGTAATAATCTGTTGTGGCTAAATATAATATCGGGCCTTTTCACTTTCTGCCCACGCCAATTCTCCGAACATATATCCGTGCTGACTGACCGGACTGACATTGCATGGATGGTTGGTTCTGATCCCAGTGCGGAGGAGTAAATTACTTAATAACCGTAATGCGATTTCACATGCAGTGGAATTTGGGCATATACGGATGCCAGACATATTTAACAGCACGAGTGAGCATATACAAGGAGAATGCGTCCATGCTATCTGGTCATTCCGAATGGAACCGGGAAACTTTTGCATAGATGTTTTGCTTCCAATTGGCGCTGTTGAACTTACAAACCTCAATGTATGACACAAATTTATCACAAATCGAGCGCAGGAATCATGTAAAAATAATACATATATACAATCAGTTCTTGCTTGTAGACCGCAGTGCATCTTGGGGCGGACTTTAAGCTGGTGATTAAAGAGCGTAACAACAGCTGAAGGTGGAGATTAGGCGGAGAGCAAACCCATAGCAAACTCTCCCGCTTGGTTATTTCGTTAACTACCCATACACAGGCGAAGAACATTCCTACAACTTCATCCCATCGGGCCAAGATCCCACAAGCTTCCTCTACTCGAGGAGGGTCACCACAAGACGCCAGCTTTTTCAAGGATTGAATCCCATTATCCCGTGTAACCTCGGGCTTGCGGTAACTTTCACAGATTCTCTGTTCAGCTTCCGTGTCTGGCTGAAAAGCGACACCGAATTCACCGTCCAGCAGAGGCAGGGAACAGTACAACTGACGGCGCAGCTGGTCTTCAGCCGCTCGTCTAAAATTTAAATCTTCGATCTCATCTACCGTCCCGTTTCGATTTCCTGGCTGTGTTTTTAACTTGATGTCCATTACGCTGGCAACGGAAACATTAATTAACCAAGCCGACATCTCTGCAGCCATCCAAAGACATAACTCTACACATATCGACTGAAAAGCCGCGCCATGTTATCTACCGTAGATTACGCAGGCCTTATACCTGTGGCCCAGAAATTCCTCGCAGCAGCGAAGGAATGGGCTTCTGTCCCGATTTTGGGCTCCGTGGCCTATCTGCTTGCAGTGGCCGTTCTCCGCAATCGAAGAATAAAGAATAACGTGAAGAAATTCAACTATCCAACCCGAGCGTCGATGGCTGGTATGTCCGATGATGACGCATGGGAGATTATCCTGGAAACTGCCCAGCTGGAGTTTCCTTTCACTCATCTCAAGGCTCTGCAATTCTCCCTGTTTAGAGTAAGTTTGATTGTGCTCTCGCCTCCGCTAAATTCTATTCGTTTCTTACAATGTCTGCGATCTGTGTTCATCGGCAAGATCATATGCTGCGACTGATGATGCATCATAAAACATAGACCTATGGAATTCCCACCATCTCCAAAACCCTTGTGCAAACCGGCCAGTTTGCGAAGCCCGAATTCTCGATGAAGCGTTATGCGGACACCGCAGTGTTGATTTCAGAGTTCTTTGGAAACCCGCCGACTTCAGAGCGTACTCGCGAGGCTATTGCACGCATGAACTATCTTCACCAGTTGTACCGTGCGTCAGGAAAGATCTTGGACGATGATATGCTCTACACCCTCAGTTTGTTCGCTCTAGAGCCAGCCCGATGGATCGGAAAATACGAATGGCGCCAGATTTCAGATATGGAGAAATGTGCCATTGGGACATTCTGGAGGAGTATTGGCGATGCTATGCTGATTAGCTTTGACAATCTACCTTCATCTAAGATCGGCTTCAAGGACGGTATCCACTTCTTTGAGGAACTCGAGGCTTGGAGCGAAGAGTACGAAAAGCAAGCTATGGTTCCAAGTTCATGGAATAAGAAAAATGCCGACCAGACGGTTGCGCTTCTTTTATGGGATTACCCTAATTTTATGAGGCCTCTGGCACGCAATATGGTGCTTTATATGATGGATGACCGCCTGCGGACGGCAATGATGTAAGCTTACTTGATTTTAATTTTCTATATATTCAATTACGAATGCCTGCTAACCACCATAACCATGCTTGGCAAAAATAGGTATGAGAAACCAGGAAGTATCTATAAGGCCTTCTTTTCCACGGTTTTCACTCTTCGAAAATTATACCTCCGCCACCTCTCCCTTCCTCGACCATGGTTCCTGCGGTACCGCCGTATCAGCCCCGGCACCAGCGCAGAAGATCGCCATTACTTCCTCACCTGGGAAGGTGCTCCATACTACGTCAAACCAACTTTCATGCACCGATGGGGCCTTAGGGCGTGGATCACATGGATCCGCGGGCTGCCTCTGCCCGGCGACGACCCCAAACATAGTCCGAACGGATATTATGTTCCGGATGTCGGACCAGTTAATTTCGAGGGCAAAGGGCGCGAGCAGGCCAAGGAGACAAAAGAGCGATTGGTGAAAGAGAGAACTGGCCAGTGTCCATTCTTGATCAAATAAGTAGGTTTTGACTCGTTTTAGAGGGGAGATTGACGACTGCCCATGGCAGTCTGGAGAGTGATGTGTGCTTATGTGATATCCCAATTACTAGTTAATATATCTCTTCTCTTCTTTTATTCCTTCTCGTTTGTTGTTTCTTTTGTCAAAGAGAATAGGCCTGACACCATGTCAGTTGAAGTAATGCAATACCAGGGGTTTTTCTACCAAAGAATTTGAGGAGAGGGTAATCTAACATCATCTTATTTTCGAAATGTATACTATGATATGTTTCTAGCAGTGATTACCCCTTGATGAGGATTAAGGATAAACTTAAGGTTCCCTGATTGAACCAAAGGGGAGTTTCCTGAGAGTTTCCTGAGAGTTGTTCTGCGTTTTGTTGACATCAACAATTAAGGTTCTTTACCCCACACTTTCTTCAGTTCGATCTGGACTAGCGCAATCAAATACATACGCCTCAAGCTGACTTTCGACATTGGATATCCGCGGTAAGCCGTACTCATCCATGTATACCCTTTCGCCTCCATCTGATGATGTCACCCGTGTTTGATCTAGATAACTACCAGATCTAAAACGGGCTTTTCATCCAATACAAAATTTCTTCTGGCATTTCGTACACAGGCGAACCAACGCTCATTCAAGCATTCTTGTATGACTAATATTGTATCGTAGTTTAGCGCTAGTTAACGTTCCCCTCATCCCTTTCCATTCCCCCTCTTCTCCTCCCGAGATGCGACTCTGAATTTGCTCTCCGGACTTGTTACATTTGGCAATTTCACACCAAACATCTGAGCTATCACTATCATCGGCCAGGTGCATTCTACGCGCGAACAAGATTGCCTATACCAGCAAATACTGAAAGGAAAAATATGGCCACTCTAGCTGCCTTCAAGCCGCCGATGGTGCAAAACGAGCCAACGGTGAGTTTAAAAACTATTTTTTTTTAAAAAAAAAAAAATTAAAATTAAAAATTAAAAAAATAAAATAAAATAAAATAAAATAAAATAAAGAACAAATGACTTTCGAGTATCTCTCGTGATTGTATAGGGTGGGGAGGAAATTGGTGTAAGGAGAGACGGAAAATATCAAAAGAAAGTACATAAAATAGATGTAGCTAACTGCTTCCGCCCCTCACCACCCGCCCTTCCCGGAGGGGAAATCTTCAACCAGCAAAATTACGCCAAAGGCTCACCAGAGCGAGGGAAACTCGCAAGCGCAATTGCGGCATTCAAGAAACAGGCTCCTCTGCAAATTCCGCTTCTGATAGGAGGCAAACACGTACGTGTATATTCATTTCGTTCATGTGCCCTTTTTATTCTTATAACTGCCTGCGTATGGAAGCAGAACTCCGTAGATGGGAATTTAACAAAACTAACCTCCCTCATCATCGCCTTGACCTCTCACACAGGTAACCACCTCCTCACCCCTTCAAACCCAGCTAAACCCTTCTGCATTTAAAACCAATCCCGTAGCCAAATTTCACGCAGCAGGCCCCGAAGAGGTCACTAAGGCTATCGAGTTCGCATTAACCGCCAAGAAATCATGGGAGACGTTACCGTTTGCGGACCGCGCAGCGATTTTCCTGAAAGCAGCTCATCTCATCAGCACCAAGTATCGGTATGAATTGATGGCGGCCACGATTGTGGGACAAGGGAAGAATGCGTGGCAGGCGGAGATCGATGCTGCTGCGGAGTTGTGTGATTTCTTGAGGTTGGTGTATATTTAGCGATTGTGCTTTTGCTGGCGCGTAAATGACGGAATGGATATTGATGGAGTGAAATAATTGTGAACAGGTTCAACGTCCAGTATGCAGCGGAGCTTTATGCGCAGCAACCAAGTCACAATTCTCCTGGAGTTTGGAAGTACGTGTTCGCCCCTTTTAGGTTTCTCACTAGTTCCCCATTGAAGGAGGGGGGGGGGGGGGGGAGACTATCACCACCACTTCCAGCAATCCGCTTGTTCGAATTGCACAGAAAGACAGCAATGGTGAATTATCGCTGACTCTCCCCTAAAAAGTCGAATGGAGTATCGCCCCCTTGAAGGCTTCGTCTACGCAGTGTCCCCGTTCAACTTCACCGCCATCGGCGGCAACCTACCCGCGGCACCAGCACTGATGGGCAACGTGGTTATCTGGAAGCCTTCGCCATTCGCTGTCGCAGCGAACTTTTTAACCTACAGCATCCTCGCGGAAGCCGGTCTCCCTCACGGAGTCATTCAGTTCGTCCCTGGGGATGCTGAACAAATAACGCAAACAGTGCTTGACCACCGTCACTTCTCTGCATTGCATTTCACAGGAAGCACTGCCGTATTTCGATCCCTGTATGGCAAAATCGCCCAGGGAGTCGCAGACAGCAAGTACATCAGCTACCCGCGCATCGTGGGTGAAACAGGAGGGAAGAACTTCCACCTCATCCACCAGAGCGCCGACATCCCCAACGCCGTGCGGAACACCGTGCGCGCCGCCTTTGAGTTCCAAGGCCAGAAATGCAGCGCCTGCTCACGCGCCTACGTCCCTTCGAGCATCTGGCCCGAATTCCACCGCCAACTCATCGACGAAACAAAGGCGATAAAGATCGGCGATGCTGAAGATTTCACCAACTTCATGGGTCCTGTAATTCACGAGGCGGCGTTTCAGAAACTCTCATCCGTCATCGATGAGGCGAATAAGGATTCCAGTCTTGAACTGCTCGTTGGCGGGACCTACAGTGATGACACGGGATACTTCATCCACCCCACCATCTATGCGACAAATGATGCATCCCATCCCATTCTCAGCACTGAGCTCTTCGGGCCCATCCTGGCAGTCCACATTTATGACGATGGGGCGGAACACGATGACTCATCTACGACTGCAAAAAGTGCAGAGACAGCGTTCGAATCTATCTGCCACACCATCGACACCACGAGCCCCTATGCATTGACGGGCGCCGTGTTCGCGCAGGATCGAGCGGCGGTGTCATATGCGGAGGACGTGCTGCGTAATGCTGCGGGTAATTTCTATATCAACTGTAAGTGTACGGGGGCTGTGGTGGGGCAGCAGCCGTTTGGAGGAGCGAGGGTATCCGGCACAAACGATAAGGCTGGCAGCGCTGGGTTGTTGAGTCGGTTTGTCAGTGTTAGGGCGTTGAAGGAGGAGTTTGAGGCGCTGGAGAAGGTTGGGTATGCTAGTAATGAGTAGGCCGGGTTTTGAGAGATTTTTGTTCCTCTCTGGCTCTGGGTTTCTGATGTCGAGAGAGAGATATGTGCATATCATGTATGTCTGTTGATTGGATGAGGTGTCTGAGGCAGCCGTAACATCTGCCAACGATAATTTACTTTGAGCTTGTATTAACTGTCCGAACGTTTGGTTCGTTCCCTTCAGCCATGAACCAGCCCGCTAGTCCTAAACAAGCTAAGCCATGCCGTTTTGGGACTAGCGACTCTCCCCAGCCTGTTATAGCGCTAGTCCCGATTTGCCGCCCCAGCTAGCCGCAACGGGACTAGCGCTACAACACACAAACATCGCGCTTCCTTCCCCTTGTTCTTCCTGTTCAATCTTCACCCCTCCTCTTCCTCCTCCTACACCGCCCCTGGTTCAAACCTCCAAACCTCCAAACCTCCAAACCTCCAAACCTCCAAACCTCCAAACCCTCACCCATCAACCACCGCCTTATCTCTGTCGTTCGAGGTCTCCCTTCCCACACCCAGTTTTATACTTTTTTGCTACTTTTACATGAACTCTGTGAAAGTCTTCCCTCTTGGCCCTGTGAAAGTGAGTTCATAGTAGGATAGACAGAAGATTTTTAGGACAAGAACTGAGGAAAGGCTAGATCAGTGATGGCGAACCTATGACACGCGTGTCATAGGTGACACGCGACCTCATTTTTTGGCTGATTTTTCTTTGTTAAATGGCATTTTAAATATATAAAATAAAATATCAAAAATATAAGTCTTTTGTTTTACTATGGTTGCAATTATCTAAAAATTTCTATATGTGACACGGCACCAGAGTTAAGTTAGGTTTTCAAAATGCTGACATGCCGAGCTCAAAAGGTTCGCCATCACTGGGCTTAGATGG